AGAGTTTAACCTACTGCGATTTTTCTTTCAATGTGGAATAATTAATTGAAATTGTCACTCGCTAAAAATCAATTAAATTATAAATTTTTCAACATTTATTCATTTTTTTAAATTGATAATGTTTTTTTCAAATCCAAATTTTTTCAACTAAAACTTTTGGATATCAAAAAAAAGAAACATACAAAAAAGTAGAGATAACCTTATACTTATGTATAGCTGAATTCATCTTTAGAAGAGCTATTTATTTATACTGTAAAATATAGGGCGTCCTATTAAAAAAATGTCGGTAATGTTATAGGTCTGTCAAACATGGATAAAATAATAGAAAATATTGCAGAAATGTGACAATTTCTATTTATTAATTGACCTGTTTCATCGATCTTTTAAATTTCAATTGAAAAAAAATTTGAATTCTGTTCCATCATTGTGGGACACAATTTAGAAACTATTTCAATTAATAATTTCTCTCAATAACAAACCCCTAATAACACACAAAGGCATTCTCTTTCACAAAATATAGTACATACTTAATTCAATTTGTCATATTTGATCTTGATTTTTTTTACATGATAAATCTCGTACGCAGCCACACTGAAAGAAATGCGTTTTATTCTTTATTAGAATTCTATATACCATTATAAGACCATTGTATACTATATGTGACAGTTAAACAGGTGAATATTGGATATAAAACGCGTATTGCTAGCACAGTTGTATAGTGACTATAAACCTTATTCTTTATTAAATTATTGTATAACTAGTATACAACGTTTTTTATACCCTTTACGAAATAATAGCAATAACTGTTATTAAAGTGTTCCATATCGTTATTAGAACATCTAGTACTGGTTATAAGTTTTATAATAATAAATGTATTAAACTGTTGTATACTCTGTATGAGTTAAAAACATATGTCATTAAGTTTTCAGAAATTTTATTGGATAACTGTAATTACAAGCTAAGGTTCTAATGTAAACATACATAAAACATACTTTTAAGCATTAAAAATGATGACAAATCGCTCCCAAAACTGTCCAGTTTATTTTCTTAGCAACGATGCACCCGTATTTTCTTGTATTACATGAGAATTTGCACTATAACTCTTCCACCTTAAGAATGAAGCATCCCCAGAAAGGTTGAGCTTCTTTCCATATAATTTTATTTCCTCTGGTTGATTGACTTTATACCCATGCTCTTCTTTGTCACCGTTAACCTTCTGTTCCTCCATCTTATGTAAAACTTAACATCAGCGATTTCTAATAGGACCTACAAAATAATAATTTTTAAGATTTAGACAAGATTTACATTTGAAAAAACAAAACAATTACAAGCCATAAAACAGTTAGATACTTACATAATAATTTTCCATTTCACACAACGCGATATGATCATGTATCCCACAAAACATGTGCATATACTGTCCATTTTCATCAAACTAGACGTGTGTAAGTCGATGCACAGCGGACTGTCGGAAATTTTACGATTGTTGTATTTTCTCTTCTTGAGTAAAGATAATAAAGACGTTGTGGTTTTGTGTGTTTATTTTGACAATGATTGAACATGTATGGACAATAAAAGTGGACTGTATAAGATAGTTGAGTACCGTTCTGCTTCATGCATAGCATGCTACTGAAATCTTAGAAGGGATGAGCTCGTGCGGCGAACCCTAAATCAGCGGCTGGAATAGCCAGGTTTCTTATTGAGTCGGCGCACTTCGCTCTCGGGTCTGACATATGATTATTATTACAAGACTATGAATATAACTTAACAACGATCATAACCGATTATGCACCGAGAGGTGACGATCACTTAACCATTATAAGATGCGTTTTACACGTTAAAAACGGAAACATATTCAGTATAAGAACGAATAATTCTGTTAATACAATTGTTATATACAAATTCGGATACTGGTCTTTATACAACAAATCTTCCCTACTATACAATTGGAACATAAAGTCTATAACACCTAATAATGTATAAGTAATTCATTATAACCTTTATTTCATAGATGCATAAGGTGTATTAAGCACCTTCCAGTTAGACTCATTAAATAATGAGTATGGAGATGATTGCCTTTTTTTAATAAAAGTTTTAATATGCGCTATACACATTATTCTAGATAAAGAGTTTAATAAGCCCATATCTTTCAGTGCATGAAATATATTTTTGAAGCACTCTGTATATAGGTACCAATTCACAAGAACAATACCTAATAATATTACTTGAGTAAAGAATCTTGCGTGCTTTTGAGCTAGTGATGAAACTCAACATTAATATGAGTTGTGTGACCAACCACACAATGGGTTTTTTTAAACAACATATCACGTTTTTCAGTTAACCAGCTTACAATTGAAAATTGTAATAGGAAATGTAATTATCACACAACCTCATATATACATATAAGGCTTAGCCGTTTATTGCAAACAATTGTTTTATAATCTTGTAGCTACTTTGTAATCTAATGAGAAAATAATATGGGAAAATGATTATACGTGTAACTAATGTTCGAATTAATGTTTTGTTTTTAATTGAATAGGTGCAGTTCTGGTTCAGATGTTTTAAGCAAGTAGGTTAAAGAAAAAAATTCCTTGTTAAAAAGGTATTCATAAATGGGTAGCAATTAAAGGCGATTACACTGAGAAAACTACTTCACGTAAATAATACATATCTGGTTTCAATGATGGCACACTTAATTAAACTCCATTACCTTTGTGACCCCAAGAAAACTTTGATAAGGGGGGCGCTTATATTGCGCAGTTTTTTGCCCATTTAATCTAAGCTAGTTACCAACAATATTTCTTCACTGTAGGTACCAGTTATATAAGTTTTCTTCAGGGTATAAGACAACTGACATTACATTCAAATTAAGGAAAAAGACATTTTTACCTCGTATGTTTAATTGTTTATCTTACGTTTCCTGAATTTTCGCACGCCTATTGAACATACAATAAATCGCGTACGGCACTATAAACATAATCACACCCTGCAGAATGCAGTTTGGGAAACTATTAACACATGCATTAATACAATTATTGAGTATCTTTACAAATTTGCTTTACAAAACAGGAAAGGTACGTTTTCTGATGTTTATATGTTTTCCGAGATCTTTCAATGCGAATAATTAAAGGAATTTGCTTTAGTTTAGCTTTACGCTTCATCACTTCCTGGATGGATCTACTTGTTCCATCATTGTCTTATTAAAAGTGTGATTTCTTGTATATAAAAAGCTAGTAATAATGTTATCTATCATTCATTACCTTTCAAATAACTGATTAGTAAATAAATAAATGTTAAATTTGACACTGAAATAAATAACACTCCGAATGTTCCGCATTTATTCACACTCAGAGCTTGATACACGTTTTTTTCGAAAGCGGTAAACACAACAATCAAGAACTATAGGGAGAAAAGATTTTTAAGCAGCTGCAAATATGTATCACAAAATAGCACAGGATTTGGAATTTTAAAAGGACGTAACAAAATGAATATAGAGTGGCTATGGTAGTGTCAGCGAGGTGCTAATCGGCTTGACACAGATTAAGCGACCTCAATTCTGTGTCGTTTACGATATAGATAAATTAAAAAAGTATTAACGTATAATGTTTTCCTCTGTTTAATAACGGATTCCTTATTTCTGATTTGTTTAATGAATCTGTGTAACCAGATGAGATTTAGAACGGCTATTCTGTCCAGTTTATGAGAATACTTTTATAGTTTGAAAAGTAAATACTTTTGATTATAAACGTAATATTAAGTTAATACCAGAAAATATAGTTTAATAAAGGTTTAATGGATTTTGCATCGTAAAACTAACTCATTTTAAATTTGTTTCGAGTTTAGATAGCATGAAATAGGTTTTCTAAGAAATTATTAATCTGAAATTAATAAATTGATTTCTTTAAACATAAATAAATATCAAAATATAAATCCTCAATAAACACAAAAGTAAGTATAATATTTCCTTCGAAACCAATTATTATAAGCATTGTTAGGGTTGTCGTTACTACTTTTAGAGATATTTGCAATTTTCTATTTTTTGGACAGTTTTTTCTTGTATCATACCTGTTACCAGAAATAATTATTGTTGTGTTTGTAATAGTTTTTGCCAAAAATTTAAATAAAAATATCTAGTGATCGTTTAAATTATACTAATAGGGATTACTTTAATTTGTTTGTTATTTATAGACAGTGTGCAAAGTTGCAAATTCTCTACATGTTCTTGAAATTACTTTGTCCGTAAATAACAAATAAATTAAAATAATCCTCATTAGTATAAGTTAAACAATCCACAGGCATTTTTATTTAAATTTTAGGCAAAAAATATTACAGACGCAACAATAATTTGACAACTAACTTGACCAATGTCAAGATATTTTAATTGTTGTCGGAGTGTTTCTGGCCAATTTGATAACAAATCTTATACGAGAAAAACTGTCCAAAAAATAGAAAATTGCAAATATCTCTAAAAGCAGTAGCGGCAACCCTAACAATGCTTATAATATTTGGCTTGAAAGGAAATTTCAATCTGCACACAACAGAGTAAAAAAAATACAGGGTGTTTCATTTATGTTAAGAAAGTAATAGCTGTTTGAAGTTATCAACATGTAACAGCAAAAATGAAACAACTAGTATTAAATGTTTTAATTTGTTGGTATATAGAGTTACTAGCATCTTCGCAGACCCTTGTCTCTGTCAAATTTTTTCTTTAAAAATTAATATCTCAAAATCTATAACTCCTAGGTATAGGAAATATTTAATAAAGTTACCCTCAAATTTCACGTAGAATCCGAAAATGAGATAATATATAGGGTGTACATATTTTTTACTATATACCTAACTAATTTTTTCGTATTTTAAACACACACCAACAATTTTTGCAATACGGGCATTTGCCTACTGACAAAGAGAGGTGTGCAAATAATTTCTTGAGTTTTTATCATCCCGTATCTAATAACTAATGCCAGATTAAATTCTTATGGTTGAATGCGTTGTTACAGGCAGCCGGTCTAGAACTGAAGGAAAACCTGGCAGCAGGGGCAGCAGGCTGGCCGTACCCTTCGGTTTATCACCCCTATGATACCGCGTTCGCAGGATATCCATTTAATGGGTAAGTTCATTTAGTTATTATATCACGAGTGACTTTTGTTGGACAATAAATTACATGAAAAAGTAATATCCTTTACGTGTCGACATATCTCCATTGATTTACAATCGTTTAAAGCTGATTACGCCCGCATTGATTATTTTATATCTAGCGCTCTGTGCCTTGTGCGCATTTTTTAAACTACGCTGAATGTGGTTTAATATGTCGCTGATGTAGCATTAAATGCAAGTGTACTGATGTAAAGTATTAGAATCGTTTAATAGCTCTAATATCAAATAGGTGGAAACTAAGAATACATCTTTTTCAGATTGTATGTTATTATCTGGTTAAATGTCTCATAACAACCCCTCTAAAAGCAATTTTTTATGTAAACCATTAAAAACCGCATTTTTTATTAACTCTTTTTTATAATAATAATTGAAGAAACTTTGAGTAATTAAAGGTAATGGATTTTATCAAGCAGTTTGTAAAAATATATTTTGTGGTCTCATTTTTATCTTCTTTTTTCTATTGGTAGTAAATTTACAGTAAACGGGAATGAAGAACTGAATGAATATTGAAAAGTAATATAGGTACTTTGCTTTCCTTTTAAAGTAAATTCCACTATATGTCAACTACTTCCTGAAATTCATGAATAATTTTTTACTATCTTAATTAAATGAACAATGCATTTTTAGTTTTTTAAATTTATTGGTTATTTTTCCACCTGTAAAAAAAAATATTGAAACAAACTTTTGCACCTACAGAGCTGACTGGCCTATTTAGTCTAAGAGCCAGATACGGTTCCGTGTCCAATCAGAGTGCCACGGCTGAAAACAACTTATTCTTAAGTATTTTGACCTCCTGAATCCAAAAAACTTAGTCGCAAAGCCTGAAAGTGGTCAGTTCAATTGTTATTAACAAATTAAATGTTTAAATGGCTGTAAAAAGTTTATTTTTATAGCTAGTACAATTTGTTATGCGTTAATACTTACGTTTTCTCATAACAAACATATACTTTATTGAAAATTAAAAAAATATTAACTTTAGCCAAAGTTATTGCAAATATCTTACATTTTCCGTCTCCGCGCGCACCAATTTTACCATATCTCTGGTTCTATTGGACAGATTGAGACGCACGATATCTCATTTTAAAGCTTGATCTTTATTTTACAAAATAGGTAAGTTCCATTTATTAATTTATTTATTTAACAATTAATGGCAGCTTAGAAAGTTGTGAAATTTCAACGAAAATACTGGTTATATTTGTTTATAAGGCTTTTTTTTAGTATTCACCCTGAAAAGCCAAAAAAGTTACCGGATTCTGCCATTTTAATATTTGCTTCGATATTGGTTTCTGAATAATCTATAATAATGAACTACATTTTATCTTTTCCAAAATGAAATAGTTTGTAGGATCCCCTTGCAAAACCTAATGGTGTTTGTAATTCTTGTTTAATAAATAGATTAATATCAAAAACNCTAACCTTCAAAACCATTACCATTTTCGTTAATACACTTCTGCAATCTGTGGTAGAAACTCCTGGCAACAGAACAGAAATTAGCTTCATTTATTTCCGCTACTGCTTCATGATTCCTGCCTACAGGCACAGTAAAATAAACTTATTCTTTTATGTATCCCCATAACCAAAAGTCTATCGGAATCAAGTCAGGAGACCGGAGTGGCCCTGGTGTTGGTCCGCCCCGTCCAATCCATTTATTAGGTTCAAAATATGTCGTACTTGTAATGTGGCATGTGCGGGCGCACCTTCATGAAGCAACAACATAGTTGCACGTTGTTGTAGAGGAATATCTTCTATCAAACCTGGCAAAATGTTCTCGCAAAAATTACTGTAATTTTCACCATTCAGTATTCTTGGCAAAAAATATGGACCTATGATCCTTTTCCCGTAAATACCTATCCAAACATTTACAGACCAATAATGAAGGTTGTGGTCATTGAAAACTCCTTGTTTTTGTCCGGCCAACTTGATTAGTCTGTCGAAATTTGCGCATTTATTGAACTAAAATTAATAATTTATTCGAAAACGGCCCCGCTTTCGAGATTTTAATATTCTACATTTTTGTTTTATTTTTTATTTTAGAATATATATCCGGCCGCTGGGGAGTGAATTTTGACTCACCCTGTATAATTATTAAATGTACCTACAAATATAAAATAG